ATTATTAGACGATGACGTAATTGAGCCCTGTTGTAGTGACTGGTCTAGTCCGATCTTGTTAGTGCCCAAAAAATGGAATGGAAAGGAGAAAAAATGGCGTTTAGTAGTGGATTATCGGAAACTAAACGAAAGTGTACAAGATGATAAATACCCGTTACCAAACATAGTTGAAATCTTAGATTCTTTACCGGGAAGCGTATATTTTACAACTTTAGATTTGTTTTCGGGTTACTATCAAGTAAAACTCGAAGAAAATTGCAGAAAGTACACAGCTTTTAACTCTGGTCAATTTCAAATGAAACGGATGCCAATGGGTCTAAAAACCAGCCCAAGTGCATTTTCGCGTATGATTTCTTTGGCAATGTCAGGATTAACTTATGAAAAATACCTTGTTTATTTAGACGATTTAATAGTTTTTGGTAGAAACTTACAGGACCACAACAAAAATTTAATTAATGTTTTTGACAGACTAAATAAGGTTAACCTGAAATTAAATCCCGAAAAATGTAAATTTTTGAAGAAACAAATTTTATATCTCGGACATTTAGTAACTGCTGACGGAATTTTACCCGACCTCGAAAAAATTACAGTTGTAAAAAATTACCCAGTTCCGAAAATTATAGAAGAAGTAAACAGATTTGTGGCTTTTCTAAATTATTATCGGAAGTTCATTCCCAACTTTGCCGAGAAAGCATATGTGCTTAATAAACTTTGTAAGAAAAATGTAACTTTTGAATGGAATTCAGAGTGTGAAAAATCATTTCAATCATTAAAAGAATTATTAATATCGCCTCCATTATTACAGTACCCCGATTTTTCACCAGAAAATGAATTTAGCTTAAAAACAGACGCTTCAGGATACGCCATAGGAGCAATTCTATCTAACAAGGACGGACGCCCGGTCGCGTATTCTAGTAGGACTTTGAATAAAGCCGAGCTCAATTACCCTATCATCGAGAAAGAATTGTTAGCAATTGTATGGGGAGTAAAATACTACAGACCTTACTTATACGGTCGTAAGTTCAAAATGTATACAGACCACAGACCTTTAATATACTTATTTAATATGAAAGATCCTACTAGCCGTCTACTAAAATTCAGGTTGACATTGGAGGAGTACGATTTTAATATTGAATATGTAAAAGGTAGCGAAAACACGGCGGCTGACGCTTTATCCAGAATACAGCTAACATCAGAAGAGTTGAAAGGAATGCATGAAAAATTAAACGTAATGACGCGCGCGCAATGGAAAAAACAATTTAACTGTAGGGATTCTAAGGTCGATATAGTATCCAACGACAAACGGCCTGATCAACCGAATGTAGTGGATATTTATAAAAAACCTTTGGAATCAGTAGAGTTGGTATTTATTACAGAAAATAATTTAAAGAAACTAAAAGGAAAAATATTGAAAAGTTCAAATAAAAAATCATTAATGTACGTACCTGAGTATAATACGATTTATACTATAACTCCTAATTCACGATTACAATTTACGCGAGCCGAATTTGTACGTGAGTTAGAGATGTTTTGTAAACAGTGTAACGTGAGCGAGCTATGTTTATTAAAAGATAAAGATATTGAGAATTTTATTAAAAAGTTAGTAGATGAGATACGTAAAAATAAGAATTGGACCGGTCCACGAGTAAAAATTTAAAAAAATTTGAATAGAATAGATGACAAGGATGATCGTAGAGTTAAACGATTTCCACCTGTTGCCCACTAGTGGCCACGCGGGTATCAGGCGGATGCTTAATAATATCAGAAGACGGTATTATTGGCCCGGTTTAGAAACTGATGTTAAAAAATGTGTTTCTCGTTGCGATAAATGTCAAACACAAAAACATACAAACCATCACATTAAAGAGCCGATGGTAATTACCACTACTGCCAATTCAGCCTTTGACAAAATATTTTTGGATCTTGTTGGACCCTTAGACAGAGACAACAATAACAATAGCTACATCTTAACTATACAATGCGAATTAACAAAGTACGTCGGAGCTTACCCGTTGATTACTAAAAGCTCAAATGAGGTTGCAAACACTTTCGTAAATAATTTCATATTAGTTTATGGTATACCAAATTGTATAGGTACAGACTGTGGAACGGAGTTCTTATCAGCAGTAATAGCCGAGGTATGTAAATTATTACAAATTTCACAAATTAAGTCGACAGCTTACCATCACCAAAGCATAGGAGCCTTGGAAAACACGCATAAAGGTCTAGGTAATTTTTTGAGAATACAAACAGATAATCATCCGGACTATTATAGTGAGTGGCTGCCGTACTGGAACTTCTCATACAATACGTCAGTACACTCGTCTACGGGATACACTCCGTACGAACTTGTTTTTGGTAAGTTGTGCAGTTTACCTAGTAATTTAACGAGCAACATTGTAGAACCGTTATACAGTCACGACAATTATGCATTGGAACTTAAACATCGGCTGCAACTATCTCAAAAAGAAGCAAGAGAAAATTTACTCAAAAGCAAACTGAACCGAAAATTAAATTTCGATAAGGACATGAACTCGGTTACCGACAAGCCAAAAGATTTAATTTTGATAAAAAATGAAACTGGTAACAAGCTTAGTAGTATCTATTCAGGTCCATATGAAGTAATACGAGACGCTTCACCTAATGTAGATGTACTTAAAAATAACAAGCTGATTACTGTACATAAGAATCGAACAAAACTATACAAACAATGACTGCGTTAAATAAAAAAAAATTAATAAATAAAAGTAAATACATTTACTTATTTTGTATACATATTAAAATGTCTTTTTAAATATATGTCTATGTTTACTAAAAGTTTTAAAAAAAATGGATCAACTAGTTGTAAACGTATTTAGAAACAAACAGTATTATTATGATGTTTTATTAATATAATATAGTATTATTTAGTATTCTTTTGAATGATAAAAAAAAAGTTATACTACTTTTTTTTTATAGTTGCGAAGAGGTGTGACGTAGTAAGTGTAGTATACTTATTTAGTAGTAGTGTAATGTACTTAGAATATTATATACAATAAATATTCAGTCTTGTAACCGCATTCGTTGGTTTCACTCGTCTCCAATATCCCCGGCTACCACCGTCCCTACAGTAATGACGCTATGTAAGATCGGGTGCCGATGTCGCCACTTTTTAGCTTGTGTGCAATTCAAACTTTACGCTCTATTATCTACTACCATAACTTAAAGATTATGATTGGGTAGGGCTTAAAACGTGAAAACGACGTAAAACAATTTTAAAATTTAACAAAATTAAACTTACAGTCACTTGAATAAGAGTTACAATATTTCAGTATTTTTTTCATCCTGATTCAGCCATTCACCAACAGGTGGCGTTTTAGTAAAAATAGTACTAGTATATAATAGCTAACTATTACACGTCAGATGGCGCTGAAACTCATTTTTCGTAACACTAAGAACTCACCGAGCGGTTTTCACCCGCGTCTGCCGCGGGACCGCGGCATCTGTAGAATGTAACAGTTAAGTATGTAAATTTAGTAGCACATTTCACGGCGCGTTTTACGCCTGTCGGTTGCTCGCGGTTGCCGCGGCGGGGTACTAGTAGAACCGCGCAGGACACTTGTAAAATAAAGCCGATTTGATTTTATTTATTTTTAAATGCATTTGCTATGGAAATTGAAAAAAGTCAGAAATAGTAATAAGAAAACCAATCTTTCGATTTTCCTGCAGCTTCAATCCGACCTTCTTTTATTTTAAACTGATTGGAAAAACTTAAAAATTAAAAATACTCTACGTTTAATCTACGAGTATAATGGAATTTAAATGTCTTAAATGTCTAAAACACATACATTTTTCTTCAAGCAACAGCAACATCCAAATTGACAAGAAATTGAAACGGTTGTCCGAAATATGAGTTGTGTTAAAGTTACTCGAAATAAAATGTTTAGTAATAATAATAATAATAAAATAAAAGAAATCAATTTAACGTGAATGCTTTTCGCTTCGATATTTTAGGGACTTTAATTACAAAAATCATAGTAAGAAATTCGAACATTTCAGTATAAAAATTTATTGTCGATAAACATCAGTCTTCGTAAATGAACATCAATGAACTATATTTGAGTCTAGAAATTTCTATGGATACAATAAGAAAACATTGAATAATAATAGAAATAGTAACTAAAAATGCAAATAGCCGGTGGAATGTTATCTCACTTGTTTTAAAATTTTAGTTTTCAATCAATTAAACAAATATTAAACAATAAGATACCTTACTAATATAACTACAATTTAGAAAATACATTTCTTTTTTAACTCCTCATTAGGGAAACCCTGTATCGCGGGTACCATGGACACCTCCCATAGACAACCACAAATTACACCCAAACTCACAAGAGAAACAAATGTAGGCCACACAAATATTCTCCCGGCCCGGAAATCGAACCCGGGACATCTGCGTGGCAGTCCAGCTTGGTAACCATTCGGCCACAAAGGCACATCACTATGAATCTGTCTATAATAAACAAAGACAGACCGAATGTTTTAACAAGAAAAAATTTACTTATATGATGTTTTGACAGCTCCACGCATATAGCCGTCATCATCGCCGGAGTAACTGAATTGGCTGCCGGCCTACCTCTTTTCCTTGCAAAGTTTTTAAGCAATTTCCATTCTTTATTTTACCGTTATTCGCAGTGAACATTGGTTACAAGTTTAGCATCATTGGTTATCGGTATCAAAAAATCAATAATATTAATCTATGTACTTGGTACTACGCCCTGACTAATCTATGACACTCCTCTATTTTATCTAACCTTTTGTTATCTTTTCGGTATCTGTTTTGACTGTACTCGATAACAACATTATAGACACTGTATACGTGGAACTGTTCAATACATTTATCAGGAAAAACCTTTTCCTTTATATTAAATTGTAGAAAAATTTCTAAATTTAAACTTCTTATACATTATTATTATTATAAGTGCTAATTTTAATTCAATCTGATCAAAATGGGTTGTGTCCAGTTTTTTGTGAAATATGCTTTATTTTTCTTCAACTTGGTGTTTGTGGTAAGTATATTTTTGCTTACACCCAATTACTGACGTCTTGCGTAGTTCATTATTGAGAATTGCGATTGATCAATTTTCTGTGACATCAAGTACATTGGTCCAATGTTGTTGGTATAATAGCTAGCTGTTTCATGTTTCTCAATATCGCCGCGAAAAGTTAGTGGCGCGGGAGACCAATAATCGGAAACGGTAGAAATTTTTATTAGCAATATATCGCTCCCCTCATGGAAGAATAGCATAAGTGGAGTTACGTCAAAAATGTTTATTGCTCCGTCATATACAGAAAAATATAACCCACATTCTCTCCAATTCTTGTAACCCTATTTTCTAATATTGTAGATATAGTTACAAGAACTGGAGAGGATGTGAGTTATATTTTTCTGTATCTGATGGAGCAATAAACATGTTTTACGTAACCACACCCCGGACACTCCATACAACGGTCTAAAATTATTTACCTACTACTACAACATACAGCAAGGCGCTACCTGCACACGCGCAAATGTGTTCGTGTAGAGGCAGGGTTACCCATAGATATGGATTACCCGTCACTTTCTCGCACTATTAAGTTACGTGGTCAGAGCGGCAACATAGCGAAAATTGTAACGCGAATCTGTTATCTATGATTCTATTAATAGAATCCTAATAATTATTGGCAATACGAATAGATCGTTGGGGGAGGCCTATGCCCAGCAGTGGGCGTCGTATGGCTGAATGATGATGATGATGAAACGAATAGAAAATTTGCGAAGTCATGGCGCCTCATTATATTGATATAATAAATCTGTATTTTTTATACATTCATGTATTACTCTGCAGTAAATAAATGAAGAAAACAATAACTGAATGAGTCTCAAGCATAAGTTTTTTTTTCTTACTTCGTTTCATCTTTCGGAAAATGATGATAAACAGCCGTACACAGCCCAATTCACAATCATTATAAACAGTAACGTAAAATGATGTTTTATAGGAAATGAAACAATTTTTCCGGATTTAAATCGCATCTATTAATTTTTCAAACAAACCGACGTTTCGGGCCCTTTACAGGTCCCATGGTCACGGTTGATCAGTCAACCGTATATTTGTTTTTTCTAACGTTTTAAATCCGGAAAAATAATTTCACTTCCTATGTGTAACAATCGCGAAAACCTAAGAACTCGATATGATGTTTTATATTAATATACAAGTTACCTAATGAATAAATGAAAAGAATATTCAAATATCAAAGCCGTCTTCCCGCGAAAACGATTCGCCGGCAGTCTTGTTGTCGTTCAGTGAATGTGACCGGCAATGTGCGGGGCGTGGTGCGGTGTCTAAAACTAGGGAGGGGTGGAGAGTGTCCGTTCTCTTATTCTGTATTCTCTGACGTAACTCCACTTATGCCATTCTTCCATGAGGGGTGCGATATGATAAACCGTATAAAATCGAAACCACACATATGTCGCTATCACTTGATTACTAAATACCAAGAAATTATCTGATTTTCCGTATTGACATTTGCGTGGTTATTCTCTGTATTTAGCTTCGCAATGAAGTGGTTGTTCCAATATTGGTAAGAGAATTAGACTAAGTGCCTATTCAGATTTAATGGATATTCGTTACCTCCGTAGATAGAGAAAAATACCGCGCAGTATAGTTAGCGTTATAGTGTTGACACAGACTGTATATAGGTAGGTATGCAATTGTCTAGACGGGCAAAAATCAAGAAAGTTTCGCTTAGACTATACACAGAAATATGCTTAGGTTTGAACACTAGCGAGAAGTACCAAATATCGGATACTTTTGCTCGAAAAATTAAAAAAAAATACTAATCAATGCTTAAGAACTTTAAATTTAACCTTAAAGTCTTTATTATAAAATCTATTAGAAATAATACAAATTTTTCATATTCAAATTAAATATTTTAAGCTAACAGTACGTTTTATGAAAAAAGGAATAAATCAATGTTTTTCAAAAGGTTGCCTAAAACCAGCTATCCGGTTTTACGGTCCCAAAAATATTTTTTGTGACTACAATATTAGGTGACAATTATTATACAATAAATTAAAGTAATCGAACCATTTGTTACCTTTAAAATTCTTTAAAAAAAACTCAAACATAAAAAAATATATTAATTGCGTGTATGAAAAGCTTTATTTAAAAAAATATCCTAATATCAGATATCCAATATTAAGCTCGGTAGGTATCCGATATTAAGATTGCACAAAGCCAAAAAAAACTTACTGCAACTTGTAAACATTATCGGTTTGAAAATATTTATGCATTTGTTTGTATTAATAGATGCTAGACTTTATAAAACCTAACATTGGCAATGATATTTTGTACTCACCTCGACGAAAACAACACTTTTTCATAGAATATTTTGTATTGGAAAAAAGTAACGTGTGTAACTGCCTCCGTGGCCGAACGGTTACCACGCCGGACTGCCACGTAGAGGTCCCAGGTTCGATGCCCGGGCCGGGAGAAATAGTTGTATGGCCTACAATTATTTCTCTCGTGAGTTTGGGTGTAATTTGTGGTTGTCTATGTGTGTGTCCATGGCACCCGCGACACAGGGTTTCCCTAGTGCGGGGCTATGTTGAGTGTGTGCGTTATTTATTATTATTTATTTATGGTAATCATAAATAACTAAAATTATACTCATTAGTAAATTTAAAATGTATAATAAGTCACTAAATTTTGTCGACTCGAGTACAACGCTAGCTGACGTCACGCTATGACATGAACATACATATTTCGTTCGTTCATTCGTTGGCTCGTTGCCGCTGCCGATGAGATTCATTCGGATATTCGGAGGACCTCGAGGCGAGTAGCGCGTGCTATTCTCCACCGCATTCATTTCTAACCGAGCTCCGTTCCGAACGGCCGTTAATTTAAAATATAAAATTGTTATAAGTAGTAACGAATACTTGAACAAACTAAATTCAGTGTTGTTTCTTCCCCGTTATTGGGTAAGTGTGAACAGACGTACTTATGCTTATTAGACACTTATTTGTAACTAGTTTTTGTGTATTAAAGTGTACATAATCTATTTGTTCCGTGCTGTGTTCTTTTGTGTGCAGCGATTCGCGCCATAACTATTCATGTTGCAGCACTCCAAAATGGCGGCTATTCAATTTCGCTTTGTCATTTTTAATCAGCCTTTGCATTTGCATCATTTTAAAATATTTAGTAAACTATAATTGTATAACTACACTGCCAGCTCGCTTCTATTTAATTAATTAGTTATATTGTTTTAAAATTGCACAGCGGCTAGCTTAATATATGTATTTCGGCTTTAATTATAATTGTAGTTCTTTATTTTGTTCAATTCATCACTCCGTATCTGATTTTCGTTAGCACCACAATCAAACTAGTTTAGGTACTTCTCTGCAGTGATTGACGGCGGTACGCGAAATTTGTAACGATAGGTATGATTAATGCGTTGGATTTATTTCCAGGGTCCACGTTCCGGACCACGAATCCCCTAAGACTGGTGCTGAAGCCCACTATCTACGTGTTACGGGTTTTCCACGTATTCCCACGGACTCCGGGAGACGGGACTTCGGATTCAACGCTGGTGTCACTATCGACCCCCCTCGCTATTGCGTGAAGACTAAGTGCCTGTTAGTGCCAATTGGGAAGTGTCTGAACGTTTTAGTGTAGGCGTTACGAAACCATGAATTAAATAAATGTGTGTCGAGCATAACTATCTGTTTTATTTATTTAACCGCCTACCGGTAGGTTAGCCACTCTTCAAGCGCGACATGTGGTCTCACTGTTCTGCCACTTTCTAAACTGCTCAGATGATTTTTTTTACAGTGGCGCCACTTTATAGTTGGCTATTACACATAAAATAAAAAATAGAGTGCATTATAGAAAAAAAAAGAGATAGTCCACTATCCGAATTTAGGCAACTATCCGTTATATAGTGCTTTTCCCCTAAGAGTACACATACGAATTTCACATACGTATACGGATTTCGCTACCCACAGCAGCAGCGGCTGCGAATGTTGTGTATAACAAAATAGGCCTTACCAGTGTTAGATGGACGGGAGCCTATTCCAGGTTGAAATTTGATAATTATGTCGGCGACCTATATATTTCAAGTATCAGTGCGGCCAGTATTTTTACATGAAGTAGGGAATAACAGTATTCAAATAACCTGATGGATCCACTTCGTTACGTCGTCGCCTAAGCTTTTCAACCTGTATATTAATGGCCTAATCATCTTCTCGTCAATCCTCATCCCCTGATCATGTAGTGTTGCCGACTTCTGCGATTAGAACACTTGGTAAATTGCTCATTATATGTTGGACATATGCGGAAGCCTATGGACTCTATTACATGAAAAATCCTAAGCTCCTAGTTATTGTCAGTGTTTCTGTACGGTAGTGAGGTAAGTCGTGTTTCTAGATTTAAATTCGTGGGTCATTGACCGATGATTTGTTAACTGCCTCCATGGCCGAACAGTTACCTTGCTGGACTGCCATGCAGAGGTCCCAGGTTCGATTCCCGGGCCGGAAGAAATATTTATATATATGACCTACGTTTATTTCTCTTGTGAGTTTGGTTATAATTAGTGGTTGTCTATGTGTGTGTCCATGGTATCCGCGAGAAAGGGTTTCCCTAGTGCGGGGCTATAAAAAAAAACTTGTCCGATTGTGTTGACATGGAGAGGGAGAAAAGGGTTCTGTTTGTAAGTTGTAATTTGCTCGTTATACCAAAAGGTTAAGATTGCACTATTTATAACATATTGCTAAAAGTTTTACTTCAGCAGATGTTTTTCTTATAATATCAAGTGACGGGATGAACGAATCGTACGCCTGGTGGTAAGGTACACGCCTGCCAGGATGCCATAACATAGATGAATACATTGAGGGTACAATACAACAGCGCTTTCAAAACTCAAATAGGACTGCCACTGTAGTGCATCTGGCATGTTCGTGGAGGAGCACAGGGATCAGTTCCATAACCTGAAAATGCGTGTGCGCTATGGTGTGCGCGGCAGCGGTTAATGG